AGAGAGAAACACAGACAGCGGGCAGTTGGAAGCAGTGTTGTCTCCAGAATCCAGCCAAGGACTTTTCCACTTCACACAGCTTTGAGGGATGTTCTTTAGGGCATAAGATTTGGGGTTGGTTTCGGTAAATTTTAGCAGACACAGCCTATTTCTGCCTCCCATTTCTCATCCCTCGTGGTGTCCCCCAACACCTAAAGAAACACCCAATGCCCTCGTATTGTCATCTAGCCACGCACCAGACCCATCATTTTCTTATGGAAAATGGAGCTCACGCCTCCATTTTCTTAGGTACTGTTGATGACAGCTCCTGGGAAGGCTATGCCTTTAAACAAATTCACAAGAAAATTCTAACTGGTAATTTATCTTTCAAATCTTCTCAGTGGGGTTACTTTGGAACCCAGATGGATTTCTAAATGTTAAATATTTAAGGCAGAATGCGGAAGAGATTTTTATCTTTTCTAGGTCAGTCAGTCAGTGGGGCAGAAAACTCATGAATTGTTCTATCTCAAGTCATAAAGGGCTCAGGGCTTGGGGAAAGGCAAGCTGGTGAGTAGCAGAGCAAGGGGGGAGAGGTCTTTTGTCATAGGTGGGAAGTACTGTGAGCTGCCCAGTTGTTAACCTGGCAGAATTCTCGAGTTTGTGGCTATTTCAGCCCTGGATAACCTTTCTCTGGATATAGAAATGGAAGAGGGAGCTTCCAATAACTCCCTTGAAATGGACTAAAGGCCAAGAACTCATGATTTAGAGGGAATATTTAATGGTGTCAATTTTGGTGAGGAATTAATTTTTCTAAGTGGGATTACACTTAAAGAATAATAGAGTATGGGGATTACAAAAATAAAATTTATTATAAAAAAAAGAATAATAGAGTATGGGCATCAAAAAAGAAATCAATCTCTAAAACATTTTAGGAATTTATTTGAATTCAATCTAAAATTATTTTGAAATTTAGTTTGCATAAGGGAGGGTATATTTTATGGGGGGGGGCTTACATTAGAGAAACCTAAATGCTGGATGATTTCTCTGACCTAAAGTTTGCAGGTAGTAGGAGGATGAAATTAGCAAACCCAGGAGGAAGGAAATTGGAAATGGAGAAGGTCTTCATCAGCGCAGTCTGCAGTGATGGGTATTTGGTGAAGGAAGAAACTGAGGTGATCAGATGCAGATTCAATTGCTAGAAAAGTAGATATGTGACTAGAGAGGAGGGTAATTAGGAAAGAGTAGGGGAGGGAATAGCAGAAATGAGATCTTGAGATGGACACGGTTGCCAGACATGTGACAAACACTGATTCTACCCCTAGCTAGCACTTCTGACAGACTCTCTCCTTTGTTTTTCTCTCACTGCAAGTGTTTCTTAAATATTAAGACTCACTTTTCCTCTCACTGACAGCAATTTCTTACTTCCTCACAAGTACAAATTGTTCATTTAATTTCAGTTGCCAGAATACACAGGTTAAGACTTAAGTTGCTGGCTGGGATCTCTTGTTTTTTACTCTTGTTGCGTTTCCTCTATGCAATCACTCTGGATTATTTAATGAACACAATGTTAAATTTGTTTTGTATATTACCATATATAAAATTTAGCTTTACTGCTCTAGCTGACTTTTCTCTCACTGATGATTCCATTCCCCCAGGAAGTCTCTTAGAGTCATGGTCAGATTATTTAATGATGTTGATACTGGTATCTTCAAGTTTTCTGGTGTGTCTTAATTTGTGCCTTTCTGCTTAACCCTATTAAGGTTTCTTTTTGTTGGCTACATATTCTATTGAGGGCTCATTTCCTTCTGTTTCTGCTTAGTACTTCATCGTGTTTGTTAGACAGTAAGTAAATAATAGACTAGATTGGTGTTAAAAGGGAACACTTGCTTGCATTTTTGTTTGCTGGAAGAGAAGAAATCTATTCATGTTGGGAATGCAAAAGCCACCAAACAGAAGCTGTGAGCAGCTGAGCAGGATGAGGTCTACACTTCTTTGGGAGGAGACATGGTAACTACTATAATTAAAAAATGAATTTTTTGGTGGTGGGTGTGGTGTTGCAACATACATCTGAAGAGGGATGAACCTATATCCCCAAATCATATACAATGTTGTAAATCATTGTTATTTCATTAAAAAAATACAGTTTTTAAAAAGATAATTTTTCAAGGGATAATTTATTAACTATTATTTCTAATAGTAGAAATTGCCATTATGCTATTTATCAAATGTTAACTAGTTAATAGATGGCTATAATTTCATGTGAATTGAAATAGACCTGCTTCTATACAAATATGTTCTAAAGTTGTAAGTAGACATACAACATCTTCAATATGACAATATTCAGAGATATGGTCAATGACTAGTGCTCACAATAGAAAAAAAATTTTAACTTTATAAATACAAGTCAGTTATTTGCCTGGTAAGTAGGGTAACCAAGTCTTAGTTTGAGATTAAGTATAAAGTTGACAGTTGCTTAAACAGAAGACAGGTATAGTTAACACGTATTTGTAGAATTCCATTAAGCTATCATTTACTAAAACTAATACAGTTTTCCTAAAATTAGAAATGTACTAAATGTACTTTGCCTTACTGGCTGGTGGAAATTCATGTTCCACAGTATATGCACCATTTCTAAGCTAATTAGAGTTAGAAGAAAACATCATAGATTGACTACATATTACTCTACATTTTAAAAGCACACCTGTTTTATTTATATTAATTAAAATTTGGTGATAATTAGCTTTAAAAATCCACATTAGTTTTTAAAATTTGACCTCTCCTAGACAGTTGTTTGTAAACTACTTTTGATTTGATGGAACTAGCAGAAAATAGTCATGAGTGTTTATGTTATTGTGAAAGCAAGAAAGAGATGAGAGAGCAAGACAAAGAAAGATATCTCCTGGTTTCTTGTTAGATGATAGACATCAAAAGCTGGCTTGCTCTCACTAATGAAAAACAATCTCTACAAAGGCTCTTCTTGTGAGAAATATGCCCAGGACAAAAACACCATGTGTGACAGGGAGTCGCCAAACTTTATTGCTGAAGGGGAGCTCTAGAAATCATTTCATTTCATCTGCTCTATTATTTTACAAATGAGAAAAGAGGGCACAGAAAAGTGTTATGTTGCAACAATGCTACAGAGAGTTGCAAGCCTGGCTTAGACCACAGCTGTCCTAACTCCCCCGTCAAATGATACTTCTTCTACTCTCTAAACTACCACTCTTGGAGATGTACTGTCTTCTACTAAGACAAGAGGAAGGTGTTAAGAAATTTTAATAGAAAACAAATACACATACTCAGTATGTTATTTCAACTTGTCAGTGGCATTTTGTCTTGTGTCTTAACTATACGCATTAAACATCTGTATATTTGCAATCCAGCTCTGATGCCTCAATTTCCCCCCAGATATTACTTTTGTGAAATTTTAGGATCATTCCTCTTCTGGTTTTAATTAATTTTTGGAGTTTTAATTAATTTTTTTCTTTTCAGAGAATTTTGTATAATTCTCGAGTTTTCTATTTTGAGAATTGAGTGCAAGTTGTTCCCAAACCAGGATTGGAATTCATTGATGGTGACAAATGAGTAAGAAAGTGCCATCTTTTTGAAAAATTATAATTCTGTGGCAAGTAAGCTAAAGGATCATAAAACATCTTGAGAGGTTTCCAATGAAAAATCTTATTTTTCTTATGTCTTAAAGTTTGGGAAGAGCAATGTAGAATTGTGACATAGTTAACAGAGGAAAAAAATCCACTTTCTGTTCAATTCTTCATTCCCTTCCTGAGAGCTGGTTTTGACTCTTTATTCAGTCATTCCCTAATCCAAAGGATTCAAAAGTCTCTTGAAAACAACTTTTAAATAATTCAGTCTAGCTAAAATAATCTTCAAAAAGTGGCCCCCTAAAAGGGCTTTGTGGTTGGGGCAAATTGGAATAATTACATTCCAATATCACTGGGACTGAAACAGAGACCAGACAGAGTCCAAGCAAATAGGCTTGCAGGGTCAATACAGTCTAATTAAATGTCCTTTGCTCTGACTGTATTTCCTTCCTCCCTGAAGAAATAGGAATGCTGAGATGTGAAGTCTGCACTATTAATGGTCTATAAAGTACTGAACAAAAAGAACTGTTTGGAGCTTCTCGGATACACCTGCATGGAAGGTCTGAGGAAAACAGGGTGCAAAGAGATCTCACAGAGGTGCAGAAAGGAGTATTCACTCACTGTGCTGGCGCAGTGTTTGGAGCCAGCAGGCAAGAGCTACATAAATAAATTTAAAAGCTTGAATGCTGGCACAGGAGTCAGAAGGCCCAGTACAGATAGAAGCTTGCAAGATTGTAAAGGAAACACAGGGTTACAGAATCAAGTGGGATGCTGGAAGAGCCAGGGGTAGGACTGGTTGCTGAGGTGAAGTTCTAAAAAGTCATTACTTAATTTGGGGCTAGATGCTGAGTGCAGGTGTCTTCCATGTGGTTGAGAAATGCAAGAGCATTTACGTAGCATGAATGTGAAATGTAGAATGTGGTATGAATGCACTTGAAACAGGAGAGTCATGCTTTCAGAGTTGCAGCTTTGAGTGATACAGATGGCATAGGGGCTGTATGACCTGAGACACCCAGAGAAAGTCAAGGAAGCAAAGGTCATCAGCAGGTTCTCTTTCTTTGTGGTAATAAGACTGCATGAGAACATTTTTCTAACCATGTGATGCTTTCTCCTCTCTCTTCCCCAGAGATATTTAAAGGATGAGTTTGTTTAAGGGAGAAAATATATAGAGAGAAATACTAGTTTGAATTAATTTTTAAATGTATGCAAAACTAAGTCAACCTATGAACCCCTTCCCCAAATGCCGTTATTGTAACAAAAAGGGTAGTGGAGTCTTTTGGTGTCTTCTTAATTTCTCTCACTCTATGTGTGTATGTATTCTATGTAATGTATATATTTAGGGGAACTGGAGCATTATGAGTGATTTGGTGATAAGGAGGTTTAAGTGAAAACTAAAGAGAAATCTTTCAGTAAAATTACCTCTTATCATTTATTTCTCATTTTCCTTGCACCTGTGGTATCATCTTATTAAAAATGCAAGAAACATGGAAATCTGAAGAAGTACATTGTTGACAATAAGATGAAAATAGGAAAAATCTAGCAGTTTATATTCATACCATGAATATTAAGTGGCTAAACAAGACTACTTAAAATATCCGTCCATTGAGAAAGGAGCTATTGTTTAGATGTCATAATTTCTTAGAACTAGTGGCTACAATAATAAATTTTAAAAAGGGAAAAATAAAAGAGATGCTTCCAAATAGTTGATTGAGATTTGCAGGAAGTTTGCATATATAGCCATGTTTATAAGTTCAATAAGCTTTTAGAGATGGACAATAAGGTGTTACTGTGATTTCGTAATAACAACTTATGCTCAGTGTCTTAGATACAAGGAATTCCAACAACTATGTGATTTGCAAAATCTGACAGCATTCACGTAGCCCAAGAACAGAAAAGAATTTATGAAGACTTCTTCATTTTTATTGATAGCATCACTATTTTGTGCCTTTATGCCAGAAAGTGATAGGCAGCCCCAGGCTATTATTTTACATGAGCTCCTTGTTAGCAAACTAAAAGTACTTTCAAACATTCTGCATCATTCTTAAATGTCCAGGATATAAAGAACTACCATGATGCTTCAAGATGTATAAGATCCCTACATAAATTGAAAATTCACCCACTGAGGTGTTTTGCTTGCTGTTATTGCCTCTTTTGTTTTGTATGAGACATAAAGATAGTATGAAAGAAAACTCTCTGCTTGCAAGTGCTTACAACCTAATCTGATCATGTTTAGAGCTGAACAAGTTCACAGAGGTTATGGATGCAAATGTTTGGAAAAGAGTGTTGACAATGAACTATTTCAAAAACACATCCAAGAGTATTAGTTTAGGTACTGAGATGAGTTAACCAGCAGGAGAAAAGGATAAAGAATTATGAGGTCTCAAAGGACCATATTAGTCAGCAATCAATTATCCTAAGATGTTATTGTCACAAAGAAGGTGATTCCTTGTAGTTCACTCTCTATTTGCTTTTTAATATATATGGTATTTTCTCTAGCTAACTTTAAAAATAGAATTGTCAGCGTCTCACAAGACAGAGAAAGAGTCTGCCCTGGCATCAAAGGGTAAACTTAGATGACATTTCAAGGTTTTCTTCCTACACCAACATAAAAGCACAGAATAGAATGCCAGCATTACTTAACAGACCTGGTTACAATAAGAGTGAATTAAAATGCAGAAATACAATGTCATTTTTACATAAACAACAGCCAGGCAAGATATTTGATATTGCTCTAAGACATTATGTGGTCAGCTGAAGCAAGATGCTATATGTAAATCTTCTCCATAAATCAAAGTATAAGTCCATAAATCCTGAATACAAATTGCCTCATTCAGGGGCTGCTCTGATGAAAGTGAAAATGTCTCCTCCATATGTATAGTTTCAGACTTTATAACATTTAAAGAAAATGTTCTAAGAGATAAAGTTGGCATGTAAAACGCATGGGAAGAGGAATTAGTAACAATCAGAGCAAAACAACTCTAGAAAGCATCTTAATTTTCATATGGCTCATTTGCATTTGAAACACTGAGAATTCCTATCTCTCTTGTACAAAAATGTGTACATATTAAATTACTTTCCACTTGAAAGAACATTTTCTTAAATGTTTGGAAGATGATCAAATTTTAACTGGAGGACTTGTTTTCTTCCATCAGGTGTGGGGGAGATGTGGCTTCCTGGTATGAGAGGCAACAGTTGATTCTAATAGTGGAACAAGACAAAAATAAGAAAGTAAATTGAAAACAATTCCTATGCAGTTTGATTCAAAGGTGGTAAAACAAAAGGGATACATATGGTACAAAGATGTCAAATGACATCAATTTTAAAATTAGGCAGGGTTACATTTATAAAAACTGTAACCCTCTGATACTTGAAAATTTGGTTCTTTTCTTTATTCTAGGATTCTCATGGATGCACTATGATTTCTTTCAATATACTTGTTTCTGAGTATCTAGTCAGTTTTTAAAAGATAGATAAACAGCGGCCTCCCTGGAGGCCTCGGGGTTAAGTCTCAGCACTATCACCTGGAAGGCCTGAGGCCAGGCCAGGGAGCTAACACACATATGGAGCAGCAGACCTCTCCTGGCTCACCTGCTGTTCCCCTTAGCAGTGTATTTCAGTAAATCTGCCTGCTCTGCTCTGCACTCTGTCTCTGGTGAATTCTCTTACTGCCTCCCCCTCCCTACCACACTTCTTGCCTACACCCCAGTTCTACTATGCAAAAATAAATAAATAAAATCTTTTTAAAAAAGATTTATGCATACAAGAACTGGGGTATAGGCCAGAGGTGCGGGGGGTGAGAGGACTCACCAGAGACAGAGTGGGAAACAGAACAGGCAGACTGACTGAAATACACTGCTGAGGGGAGCAGTGGGCGAGACAGGAGAGGTCTGCTGTGCCATGTGGGCAGCTCCCTGGCTGGCCAGGGATCAAACTCCTGCTGCAGAGACTGCGGATAGCTTCACAGTGCTGTACTTAACCCCTTGAGCCACCAGGGAGGCCCCGGATTAGTGTTTTAAAACACAATTCATATTGCAGTTCAAACTGTTATTTGAAGAAACCCTAATCTTTTGGTTACTTAAGTAAGCTGTGTTAGACTTGACTTTCAAACATACAGCTTTAACAGTGAAAGGTAAATTTACCTATGTAACAAAAACTCAGATACCCACAGATTTTTGGACACACAGACATAATCCTAACATTTCATCATATTGATTAGTTTGAACTTCCTCAACAAACTTCTATTTTAACTATCAAAAGGTTGGAAAAAAAAGATTTCTTTCTTTATCGTAGAAATGCTGAGGAAACAAATGACTGATACATAGATCAAAAGTGAAAATTCAGCAGATAGAATGGGACAATTTTCAGTCTTGGATAAATTAAAATTACTCTCCTCCTTAAACAATGTTTGTCTTATATATTTATTTGGATAATATTCATTAAGTACGTTCTACAGGTCAGATACTGTTTTAAGTGCTGGGAATACAGGTGAAAAAGAAGCCCAATCCAAAATTAGCCTGCTTCCATGAAGTTTATTTAACATCAAAGCTTTCTGAAACCAAGTAAAGGGTCATCACCTAATAAACTGCAGAATCAACATTTATCATCAGATTCAGCATATCATTCTGTAGTATCAGCATATTTTAGGCTAGGAATTGGTTCCCAGATGTCTTGAGTTTCACCCTTTTGTATCTGGCCAGAGCTTATCTTTGATTTCAGGGACAAGCCTAGGAAAGGCAGACTTAAGCATCATGGGTGAAAAGAATGGAATAGTCAAATTTCCTTTATTTAAGCCTTTGGAAGCTCCAGAAAGGTACTGGGATTCCTCTGTAGAGATTGTGGACTCAGGGTTTCGTTGTACGAAGCAGTTGTATTTTGGTTACACAATCTGGTAGGTAACATATCCAATCAGTGTAGCAAAAGGATTGTACAATGATTTGATTCAAGTGTACTTTGGAATAAGATCTGGAACAAGTTTTTAAAAGAAAACAAACTATTTTGCATAGTTTTATGACATCAATCACCAATATTTATTAAGATAAAAAAATATAATGAACCAATAAAAAAAAAAAGGTTTTGGTGTCCACCTAGTGTCGCTTGAAAAGGTAGAAGAAGGAAAAATAATGAATCAATTTTATAACACTTTAGCTTTTGAACAGAGGTACCTGTTGGCGTCTTCTGTTTCTTCCTTCATTACGTGCTTTTTTTTTCATTTGGTCCTCTCGGAAAGAGTCAAAGTAGGGGTTCTCCAGGAGTTGGGCGCAGGTCAATCTGTCATCTGGATTCATCTTCAGACACTCCTTTGAAAGGAGAGAAAAGCAAAGAAGATACTATGAAAAAGGCCTATTTTATTATTGTGTCTCCATTCTCTGACTAGTAAGAGGGAGCCAACAGGAGTTTAGAAAATTTCAAGTTGATATATTCTCCAGTATTTGGAACTTGCTAATTACTAGGCTTGTTCTTCTTTTGCCACTTCTAAGTCTTCTGAGGGCAGAAATGATAAACATTCACTGTCTCTGAAAGGGGCTACATGTAGATCAGGTGTTTCCACCATGACATCTCTTCATCACTGTCTAAGCAAATAGTTTGTCAGACTTTTCAAAAGGTGGTCCCTAGACTAGCTGTATCAGCATCACCTGGAAACTTATTAGAAATGCAAATTCTTGGTTCAACCTTAGCCCTGCTGAATCAAAAGCAGAGTGGGGCCCAGCAACCTATGTTAAGCAGACCCTCTGGATGAGTCTGATACTTATTCAAGTTTGAGAATTGCTGATTTAAGGAGGCAGTTAGGGAAGTGTTAGTTTTAGTAGTGAAAAGAACCTAAAAATGGGGATGATTGGAGTACATATTCAAATAAAAATCACTAGAGGCAAAAAGAGAAAGGTGACATTATGACCCTTTATACTAGAAGCTATTAGAATCACTAGCTCTGCACACCCTGGAGTGGGGAGGACTCTGACAGCAGTGGAATCAATGGTAATCATGACACCGATTTCTTCCAAGAGGCCCTGATAATTTTTGGTCAGAGAATGAACCTTTACTCATGAACTGGAGCTGCCTTAGAACATGCAGACACAGGGGATCTGAAATGTCTTGCCAGTATTTATTTGTTGTTTAAAATGACTCAACTGCTATTAAAGAAAGCAAGCTTTCCTTCATCTAACATGGAGCAGGAACCTAAGTTTTAGAGTGTAGCTCACAAAAGAGCACAATCCCTGATGCACTTGGAGAATTCTTGAGTGTCAGGTCAATATTTATAGCTCTAAATCAAATAATGGAGTGGCCGAAAATAACTTCATCCAGGATCTTGGGCAGTCCCACTGGGCACTTCATTTCTGAAGCTGAGACAGGGAGTTTTTCCTATACCTTGGTGTTTTGTGCCCTGGAGTTGTCTTCCAGCAAGTTTTCTCTCAGGTTAGTGGGGAGAGTAAGTAGAGGAAGGCCTAGACTCTACTTTAGAATTGGGTAGGCTCACAGAGCTTGACGTCACCCTGACTCCTTAAAGGTTTTGCTATTGCGGGTACATCAGAACAATCTGTCCAGAACAAAGTCAGGGAATGAGGCTTCCAGGACAAGGTCTGCAGAGTGCTGTGTTAAGGTAGGTGGAGCAGTGGAAAGGGGAGTCTGAGAGAGAGCATAGAGGAATTTCAGGACTCAGGCTGAAGGAATCCAGCACCCTGGATAGCACCCAGGCAGCCACCTGGCAACCTGGACAAGCACTAAGGTCAGTCTACAAAGTTGACTCGAGTTTATCTGGATGGTTCCTCCTTCTAGTTCAGATGAGTTTCAAATTAGGCTGCTTATCATAATCACTTTCGGGGATGTTTAAAGGTACAAATTCCAGGATCCTACTCATGGCAATTCTACTTCTATAAATCTGAGGTTAGAAAGTGAAACGTGTATTTTTTTAAAAAAAACTCCCAGGACATTATGGTGAGTAGCCATCTGAAAACTACCACTGTAGGTAGAACTCAATTGATTTAGATACTCTCACTGGTATTTTTATTGCCATCCCTTCCTCTGTGCATTCAGTATTAACCCTGGATGGAAGGGTGACACGTTCCAGCATGGCTTCACATGTTCCAGCAGTCAAGAATGAATGGCATACTGCCCATAATTGCGTCTTGGTTTTTTTTTTTTTAACTCCTTTTTTTTTAAAAAAAGATTTATTCATTTATACAAGCACTGGGGTTCAGGCCAGAGGCGCAGGAGGGTGAGAGAATCTACCAGAGACAGAGCAGGGAGCAGAACAGGCAAAAGGACCGAAATACACTGCTGAGGGGAACAGTGGGCGTGACAGGAGAGGTCTGCTGCGCCATGTGGGAATCTCCCTGGCCAGGAATTGAACTGGTGAGGTGGAGGCTGCAAATAGCCTCACAGCACTGCGCTCAACCCACTGCGCCACTGGGGAGGCCCTGAGTCTTGTTTTTTAATTAGGGTCTATCCTTTGTTTGGCCATCTCTCCTGGCCTGGTGCAGGGGCCATAACTGATGTCTGCATGGCACTGACTTTGCTGGTCTTTTATTCATTTTTAAAAATTGAAAAAAAATTATTTAATCCAAAATATCCAAAATGTTATCAGTTCAACACATGATCAATATTTTGAAGTTATTAATGAAATATGTTATTTTTTTTATAGTAAACTTAGTTATTCATAGTTCAAGTGCTCAGTAGTAATGTGCAGCTAGTGGCCACCAGGTGCAGTTCTAGAACATCAAACTTTTTTTTTAAAGATTTATTTATTTATTTATTTATACATGCACTGGGTACAGTCAGAAGCGTGGGAGGGTGAGAAGATTCACCAGAGACAGAGCAGGGAACAGAACAGGTAGACTGACAAAATACACTGCTGAGGGGAGCAGCAGGCGCGGCAGGAGAGGTCTGCGCACTATGTCAGACCCTCCTCCGGTGGCCGGGGATTAAACTGGCGCTGCAGAGGCTGCGGGCAGCTTCACAGCCCAGTGCTCAACTGCCTGCGCCACCAGGGGAGGCCCTCTAGAACATCAAACTCAAGAAATATTCACCCTCGTAAATTTCCATAGTCTGAATATTAACATTCAAACGACCTAACAAATGTAAAAGCAGCAATAGTGTCTTCTACTAATTTTAAAGGATATGTTAGAACTATTGCTGTTGAACCTACCAATGTTCCTTTAACTATAATTATTTTACAGTTTCTTATAATTTTCAGTAACTACATCCTACTTTGACATTATTTGTCCTACAGTCCACCTCTCTCACAGTTGCCAGTTTTAATCATACAATTTCCAGTCAATAATGATTATAATATGTTCTTAAGTACCTTCATGAAATTCAAAGCCAGAGGATCAACATCTGAGAACTTTTCTTCAAGAGTTTCCTAAAAAACAAAGTAAAGAATTTCAAAGTTACATAAGAGCAAAGCAATATATATATATATATATATATTTAAAATATATTTGTAAGAATACTTTGAAGAAAGATCCCCTAGTAGCTTAGATAATTCCCTTTTAAACATTAAAAAATATCATATTTTACACAATTTTCCATGACAGTATAAAAGTCTGAAAGACATAAATTGAGTTATTTGCTTAATTTCACAATGTCCTGCAATTGATGATTGGTAAATGTGAGGCCCAATGCTACAATAGTACTATAATATCTGCCTGATATACTTAGAGGGATGCTTTGAGCATTAATGAACATACATTGAACTACAGGTATAAGAGTACTACAGAAAATATAATGATAAACACAAAATTCAGAATGGTGAGGAGGGGAGAAGGCGGGTCTCAGAAGGAATGCATGGAAGAGGAAAAACTTCAAAGAAAATGGTAATATTCATCTTTATGCACCAGCTGTATGCAAGTTTATTGTATCTTGTTCTTTAAATTAAACAAGTTATATAGTCTACTGTAACTCAACTTCTAGCTTTGTAATTCAATTTTAACCTTTTATTATATTTAAGAGTTTGACACATATAATAAAAAACTTTAACAAATATAAGAAGCACCCAGCATATAAATCCAAGTATTATATAAAATTATGAATTCAAAACAATCATGGTGTCTAGAGAGAACCGTGATCATAAAAACCTCTGTTTGTTCAAGTGCCATGATCTGTCTTTATGGCTTCGGCAGCCCTGCACCATTCTAGCTCCGATACAGCTGTGTGAGGACAGACGCCTCTCCAACAGTCCTTTCACTCTACAGTTAGGACTAGACCACATGAAGTTTTAAAGATCATAGTCCAACTTAAATAACACAGACAGGAAATCAGTGTTTTCTGAACACAAGAGGGTGAGCTGTTGCTGATACACTCCCAAAGAAAGGCATTGTACAGTGATCACTGGGTGTGGAGATTTGATTTGGATACGAGGGTCATTTTGTAAAAATATACATTGTGAAGAAATGGTTTTCATTGATTTGAACTTTGTTTTACAAGCTGAAAAAAATAAAAAGAAAGCATTTTTTTTCCAAAGAAAGATAACATACAGCAAGCATTGCTGATGAAAAAAATAATATTTCAAGGAAAGTTACCCAAGTGTTTTAACTAAAAGGATCAAGGTGTTTATGAAGTAAACTTTTAAAGCATTTGCCTGATTCATCTTACATAATTCTCTTTTTTTCATTTTATGTATGTAGTTTTTTTTATAGTTTCTTTGATCTGTATTACTGGGTCATAAGGAAAACAGGAGGCAAAAAGCACAAAATTTAAAAAAGAAACTACCCTTTTAAACAATATAGCAACACAAATAATAAAATATCCAAAATTGAGTAATTTACCATGTCTTCTGGTTCAGGAATACTGATGCCATGGAAAAATTGGTTACTTTTAAAGATAGACTGATGTCTTGGGATTAGTTTTCCTGTAAAATAAAACCATGTAACTCAGAAAAAAATGTATAAAAATAATACAACGTTTAAAGAGTTAACTTTTTTCTTTTTTAAAAAATTACCTTGTTCTCTTTTTGTCACAATAAATACAAAGCTTAACTTAGATAAATATTGTATTTTCAGAGAGCCAATAAACTGGTATGTATCCTAGATGATGCACTAAACATTAAATGCATTAAGCAATATTAAAATGGTTAACTTTTGAAGTCTAGATGAGAAAGCTATCTTGAGCCTGATGGTTTCCCCCCAGACCTGGGAATGAGGGATCACTGCAATGCCATGCTTTTGCAGGTAGAGTCAGTTCTCCCATGTAACTCTTTTGGTCACATGGGGTTTGGTCTGCCATTCACCCACCACCAGAAGAGAAGGACAGAAAATGGTGAGGAGTGCTTTACATACATGATCTCATTTAATTTCATAATAATCTCACAATGGCTGCTATTTTTAATCTCTACTATACCAATGGGGAGAGTGAGCCTCAGAGATTTAATAGCCCGCCTACGGTCATAGTTATTATGTGACATAGAAACAAACTCAAGTCTGTCTAATACCTGCTTAGTTTACATTTCCACATTCCTTGTAGGAAATCAATCAAATAAACAATATACACCAAAGGTGTGATCTGTAGTAATACTCTAGCCCATGCATGAGTGATACTCATGCATGTAGAATTCTCTAAAAGAATATGCTAGAACCAAATGGGGAACTGGACCAGACTAGATGGGAGCAGTTCCCTTGCCCAGCAGCCATGCTGCCAGGAGGGGTTGTGGGAAGGCATAAACACTCATCGAAAGTGTATAGACATGTCACTTTCTTTGTCCATGCTGCTGGCATAAAGCTGCAGCCAACATTTTGCTTGCATCCAGGTGAAGGAATGCTGACACATGATGACAGCTCATGAGAGCCCTCTGAGCCCCATGCCTATTCTGCACTTAACTGATCAGCACTTTAGGCCAATCAAAGAAGCTCCAGAACCCTAATTTCTTCATGTATAAAATAGGCACGATTAAAAAGGTGCTTCAAAAACCAACTCAAAATGGATTAAAGAGCTAGACATAAGACTTGAAACCATAAAATACATAGAAGGAAATATAGGCAAAACACTACATGATATGCACATCAAAGACATCTTTACAGACACATTACCCATAGCAGTGATAGTGAAGGCAAAGATCAACAGCTGGGACTACATCAAATTAAAGAGCTTCTGCACAGCAAAAGAGACAATAACAAAAACAAAGAGAAATCCCACCCACTGGAAGAACATCTTTGCACACAACACTAATGATAAAGGACTGATCACAAAAATCTACAAAGAGCTGATGAGACTCAACAAAAACAAAGAAAATAATCCGGTCAAAAAATGGGCAGAAGAGGGCCTCCCCGGTGGCGCAGCGGTTGAGCGCTGGGTTGCAAAGCTGCCCGCAGCCTCTGCAGCGCCGGTTCGATCCCCAGCTGCTCCCAGGCCACCAGACGAGGGTCCCACATGGCGCGCAGACCTCTCCTGCCGCCCGCTGCTCCCCTCAGCAGTGTACTTCGGTCCTTCTGCCTGCTCTGCTCCCCGCTCTGGCTCTGGTGAATTCTCTCACCTTCCCGCGCACTTCTGACTATACCCAGTGCTTGAATAAATAAATAAATAAATAAATAAATAAATAATAAATAAATCTTTAAAAAAATTGCATTTTAAAAAAAAAGAATTTAAAAAAATGGGCAGAAGAGCTAAAAAGAAACTTCTCTGAAGAGGAAATGCAAACGGCCAACAGGCATATGAAAAAATGTTCAACATCACTTTTAATCAGGGAAATGCATATCAAAACTACCATGAGATACCATCTTACACCAGTGAGAATGGCACATATTAAAAAAACTAGCAACAACAAATGTTGGCGAGGGTGTGGAGAAAAAGGAACTCTCCTGCACTGTTGGTGGGAGTGCAAACTGGTCCAACCACGATGGAGAGCTGTGTGGAGATTTCTGGACCTACTAAACATAGAGCTTCCATATGATCCAGCAATTCCACTCCTAGGTATTTACCCAGAGGACACAGAAACATCAATTCCAAAGAGCACCTTCACCCCTATGTTTATAGCAGCACTGTTTACAATAGCTAAGCTTTGGAAACAGCCCAGATGCCCAAAAATAGATGACTGGATCAAGAAGATGTGGTACATATACATCATGGAATATTACTCAGCAATCAAAAAAGATAAACACATGCAATTTGCAGCAACATGGATGGAGCTGGAAGGGATCATGCTCAGCAAAATAAGCCAGAAAGAAAAAGAAAAATACCGGATGGTCTCACTCATAGCAGGAATCTAGAAAACTTAAATAAGGGACCAGGAAAAAGAATAACTATAAATAAAGAAAATATCAAAATCAACAAACAACTATGAACCAGAGACACTCTATGGGGGATGGGGGCATGGGGAAAGGAGGGACTGGGGTCAAAATAAGGGGGTTGTAATGGTATGGGGAATATAAAAATAAAATTTAAATAAAAAAATAAAAATAAAATAAAATAATAAAATAAAATAAAAATAAAAAAAATAAAAAGGTGCTCACTGGGTTTTTCTTAAGACTTAAAGAGATGATGTATGGGAAAGCAAATTGTAAGTTCTTCTTTAGGACACAAAGAAGCAGTGGCAACAGAGATCAAGTAGCCTGCAAATTCTAAAACATTTACCATCTGACCCCTTATAGAAAAGGTTAGCTGATCCCTGCTCTAGGGTAAAGGGGAAAACTCCTCTTTTATAGTGAACAGAAATTGCATTTGCAAACTCAGAGGAGTGATGAGAGGAAAGGGATGGGCTTTGGCTACAAGCCAGAGCCACCATCCTAAGTAACACTTTGGAGAAGAAAGCTCTTGTTTTCCATTATAATAACATACTATTACTATAACAATTTAGCAACTCTAAGTCATAAAATACTCATACCCAGTGTTCTGATTATCAGATAAAGTTGGTCCACATCTGACTTTCCAGGCCAAAGCGGCTGGCCTGTCAGGAGCTCTGCAAAAACACAACCAGTAGCCCATATGTCGACTGAGGAGCCATACTGAGTATCTCCCACCAGAAGTTCAGGAGCTCGGTACCATCTTGTAGCCACGTAATCAGTGTAGGCATCTCCTGGAACTGCAAATGCATCATTCAGATCAGGTGGGTCACATTCATGTAAACTATTCCCAAGAGCAGGCCAGACATTTAGGCAAGGTTCAGCAACTCTGAGGCTGAACAGTCTTCGCAGTGAATGCAGTGAGGCACTAGCTGAGTACACAGTGTAACTGTTACACTGTGTACTCAGTTACACTGTGTACTCAGCTATTAAATTCAGTTTCCAAAGGCAACTGCTTAACATCCATTTAATTCCAAATGGGGAGCAAGGGAGTGAGAATTTTTGTAGGGTAACTCCAAGTATAAACAATCATCTCCACATTATCATCAGCATGGTATTGCTTGTGGGATGAACTATGTCCCTCACCCCTAAAAGACATGTGAAGTCCTAGGCCCTGGTGCCTGTGAATGTGAATTTATTTGGAGGGTCTTTGCAGATATCATCAAGCTAAGGCGGTTGGTGGCACAGGTGGTTGAGTGCTGTGGCACAGGCGGTTGAGTGCTGTGCCGCGCTGTGAAGCTGTCCGCAGCCACTGCAGTGCCAGTTCGATCCTGGCTGGCTGGCGAGGGTCCCACATGGCGAAGCAGACCTCTCCTGTCTTACCCGCTATTCCCCTCAGCAGTGTATTTCATCACTCTACCTGTTCTGTTCCCTGCTCTGTCTCTGGTGAATCCTCTCACCCTCCTGCACCTCTGGACTGTACCCCAGTTCTTGTATAAATAAAAAAATAAATAAATAAATAAATAAATAAATAAATAAATCTTTTTAAAAAAAGTCATCCTAAGGGGAATGAAGTAGTATATCACTGAGGTTATTATTTGTACTTCCCTAATATCAATGATTAGTTATATTGAGAATCTTCTATGTGCTTATGACCATTTGGATATCTTCTTAGAATAAATGTCTATTTAAGTCCTTTGCCCATTAAAGAAATTTTGTTACTCAAAAGAGCTAGATATTCTAGATATTAATCCCTTTCCAGCATATGATCTGCAAATATTTTCTCCAATTCCATAGTAGCTTTTTCACTCCATGTATAGTATCCTTTGCAGAATTCTTTTAAATGTTGATGAAGTTTAATTTACCTATGTACTCTTCTGTTGTTTGTGGTTTTGGTGTTACAGCCAAGAAATTACTGTCAAATACAATTTCATTGTGCTTTCCCATTATGTTTTCTTCTAAGAGTTTTATAGTTTTAGGTGGTGAAGGGTTATAATCTAATGGAGTTACGTTTAGGAGGCTGAGTCACAGAGTTAATTTTGTTCATGGTATAAGGTAAAAGTTCATGTTCATTCTTTTGGATGTGAATATCCAGTAGGAGCTTAAAATTTTTCTTATATGGTTAAGTTTATTTAGTCAGTGTCAGCATTTAGCATTTACTGTAATCCTGTCTTGTTATAAGTGACCAGTGAATGCAGCAATGAGCCATACCCATATCAAAGACAGCCTGAGCTGTATCAGCGTCTGAGCCCATATCTGGTACAAGATCTAGCCAACCATAAGAAGTTGATAATGTTTTGTGCTACTGCTTTGTTTAAATAAAATGACAGAAGAAATATCATCATTGGGAATGCCACAGAGGATTCACTATGCAGAGTCCTTCACAAGATTCATGCAACCTGAATTTCTGAGACAGACAACTGTAACATTGACCTGCGTTCATTCTGAGATGATTGCTAGAGAGACTCAGCAGGAAAGGAATAATACATATTCATGGAAAAACTGAATAGATTTATATGTTCAGAAAAACTGCCAGTTTGAGAAGCCTTGCCAGCACCATGAAAAAACATTTATGAAAGAGCATTATGAGGTAGCTTTTATATGAAGTGTTTCTTTTATGTTCTTAATATTGGTCATGGTGTATATTTGCAGGTCTTAGAATTTACTTTTGTGACCAAATTGAACATTTTTTGTAGGGTGAAATGGATTTCCAGGAGTCTGGCAAGATGGCAGCAGGGTGAATATGTCAGCCTGCCTCCTCTGTATGTTCACAACTAGGGTGCAGCAGTGTCAACAACCCCTGACAAATCAACAGTGTCCATCAGGAGCAATGGTTCAGCAAAGGTTGGAGGGGAGACTTCCACTGACCTATGTTTTCAGGGATATCAGGCCAGAACAACATACAAGGGCAAGGGACAGCTGCCATATGGAGCCTCCCACTACAGTTGTTGACTAGGGTCCCATCCCCACATCAGGGACTTTGGAGACCTTGCACTCAACTGGACAAGGGGTACAGAGAGTTGGTGCCCAGGACAGAAGGCGTACTACTACAGAACTATAGGTGCAGACGTGCAGAGTGCTATTATTGGTTTGACCCCAAGCCTCTTAATATAGAATAGCTGGAGTCTGAGTGTGAGGCAAGCCAGGCTGGAATACCTGTGTATTCCAGGAAGCTATTCTTTGCAACCTGAGGCTATGTTATTTGAAATTCTTCTCTAACCCCCACCCAGGGCCACCTAACTAACTCTAGGTATTATTGATGTCTGTCATGTACTTCATTTTCTAAATTGAGGGCCCTGTGTATGCCAGTCATAGTTTCTGTGTATTTCCTGTATCATTAAGACCATACCACACATACAAGTTTTAGCTCTGATCATTTACCACATCCTAAAATGTTTGCCCACACCACTGAAAACCCTATAAATATTGCTTTTAATGGCTGCCTAATATTTCACAATATGGATGCATCATAGCACTATGCACAATAGTCTTTTCAGCACAGGCAGCATTTATCATTAGAGTACTATCACCCTATACCACAAATCAAGTAACCTTAGAAAGCATTAGCTTTTGTTTTTATCCAACCCTTCCAAATGCATTTTCAAGTCCCCTGTGTCTGGGTCCTATCAAGATAACTGATTATGAACACACCCACTTGCAAGGTGTATGTCGCTAATACATATTTTGTCTACTGTGCAGTCTCAGATTCAGGGACAAGGAATGATTTGTATCCCTTTCTCTTCAGTTCTGCCCTTTCTGAGGTGATTTCCTTTTTGTTAGCACTGTCTCTGTGTCCTGTCACGCTGATCTCGTTACTCTTCTAGTTTCATCAGTTCCATGAAATTTTTTCCAGCCACTTGAGCCCATGTTAATCTCTCCTTCCAGGAAACAATCTGCACTTTCACTTATTTTGTTCTGTTTTAAAAAAAATTTCATATTATAAGCACCTGAAAATCAGAAATGCATTGTATGATTCCTTTCCTCTCCTGTAGGGCAAAGCACATAAATGTGATGTCTAATTAACTCTAGCCAAATGGAGAGGTGTTGAAGTGCAAACTAATGTACTGACTAAAAGGCTGAAGTGAGATTTTCCTCTTGGAATAATAACAGTATAGCATTTAGCATACATTCAACAAAGAATTTAAACCACATCACTTCACCATCCTCTGAACAGGATAAGTCAGTAAAAAATTGCTACTCACTCAGAATTCGTGCAAACCCAAAGTCACAAATCTTGATTACTCCTTGCTTAGTTATTAGAATATTTTCAGGTTTTACATCTCGGTGAATACACTGTAAGATAACATTTGATGAAATCTTTGAGACATCAAAATGATAAAGTATAATAAACATTAACTATTAGTTTAAATGATAAATATATAGCCCTATGAGATTAAAAAAATACAATTTCCTTCATTTTTCTTAAGAACTTAAATTGGCATTTTTTTACATGTACATTTCATAACATTAAAAGAAAAAATCAAAGTGTTGCTATTTTAGTGAGGAAATTAAAATTTTAATTGTTGGATATAAAAACTGATTTTTTTTTTTACTCTCAAAGCACAATCTCATCAGTATCGTCCATGAGTGTTTTTTATTTTTATTTATTTTTTTATTTTTTAAATTTTTTTTACAGATTTATTTATTTATTAATACGAGCACTGGGTACAGTCAGAAGTGCGGGAGGGTGACAGAATTCACCAGAGCCAGAGCAGAAAGCAGAACAGACAGACTGAAGAAATACACTGCCGAGGGGAGCAGCGGGCAGCAGGAGAGGTCTGCGTGCCATGTGGGATCCTCACCCGGTGGCCGGGGATCGATCCAGTGCTGCAGAGGCTGGGAGCTGCCTTGCAACCCAGCGCTTAACTGCTGTGCCACTGGGGAGGCCCCCCATGAGTGTTTTTTAATTGGGGTAACACTGGTTTACAACACTGTATAATTTAGGTTCACACCCTTGCAGATGTGTTACCATGCCACGCCCACCAGTAAGGCACACATAATTCTGTTCTGGAGATAATAAGGTAGCCACGGTCTCCATACATTAAAAGCTACAAATCTTTAGTAATGCCACTGGGTCAACAGATTGCCTTGTCTATTCTTTGAGAGTATCATAAAGATTCCATTAAAAGTAAGGAGAGTATAAAGGACTTACACATAGTTCTAACAGCTCACATATGACCTCATTTCTTTTCCCTATATGCATTTTAGCTAACAGAAAAAATGAGAAGATAGACAAAGGCTTACTATAACATGAGAAAATGAAATAACAGAATTCAGAAGTAACTTCCATATTAGAGAAGAAAAGTTGGCCTGAAAAATTACCCATTTTTGATAGAGGCCACAGACTCTCAATTGAAGGTTTTCAATATCTTAAAGCTTAAGATATGGAACATGTTCAAGCAGAGAAATGACTGCAGTTGCATTGAGTTACTAAATACTGGGATCCCCTGGAAATAGTAAGTCACAGTCAGATAGATAGTGTCAGAATATACAGGGATAAAATATAACACTGGGAAATACACTTTAAAAATCATTTTACTATCTATAAAACACCTGCAGCACTTTAGGAGAACTTTAATACCTCCTATAGCATGATGGAAGCAAAAGAAATATGGATTTGATTCAACATCATCTTTAGTAAGTATTTGAAAAAACAAACATTATGAAAAACAGGTGTCTTGTGAACAACAGCTTTCTATAAATTTATTAATAGAAACAAAAACTTCTGATCCAGACTAACAAAACTTCAGATTTTCTTAAAAGGAAAAAAGCCTCCTTTAAGTATTGAAATTTATTTCCATTATCTGGTGCTCTTTTTCCATAGTCCTAGACTACCATGACAGACATTCTGTGGACATCAAAATCGACCATACAGGAGTCTGTATACTTGCCTCAGCCAGTGCCTCTGTCTAGGCACCAACTCAGAAGATCAAAACTTATTTTTAAAAGAGCATCAAAGCAAAAGCACCCAAGAGCCAAGTTTAAAAAGTTCTCACTGGCCTAAAAAGGGACAATTTGAGTATCAGAGAGGACTATGATGGCTAAGGATTGAAACACATCAAAGAGTAAAATCTGTGAATTTACAATGATGTCCTAAGGCTCAAAGACCCTTTTGTTGTTCACTTTTAGAGGCTGCGAAAACACTAACTCATCTCTGTGAGTACTGGCAAAGAAAGGAAATCTCATACTTATTGTATTTTAACAGAAGCCAGTGTCTAATAGGGTGAGTTCTTTTTTTTTTCTGGGTACAGTCAGAAGCGCAGGAGCCTGAGAGAATTCACCAGAGCCAGAGCTGGGAGCAGAACAGGCAGAAGGACCAAGGTACACTGCTGAAGAGAGCAAGGGGTGCTGCAGGAGAGGTCTGCGCTCTGTGTGGGATCCTGGCCTGGTGGCCGGGGATCGAACTGGCACTACAGAGGCTGCAGGCAGCTTCGCAACCCAGGGCTCAACTGCTGCGCTACCAGGGAAGCCCTAGGGTGAGTTCTTTATAGAATTCCAATTAATAAATGCAGAAAGATAATAGGGGTAGAAAATCACCATCTTTTAATCCTAATGAAATTCTGGTTATAAGTAATAATTAACAGATGCTAAAACCATCAAGTGAAACAATTGACAGGAAAATTAATAATGGAGGGACTCAAACTAATGCCTCCTGAACCCACTAAATAATTTTATGATGATCAAAAGGGGAACAACTGGGCATTATATGCCTTGCAATGGTAATATGATAAGAAGTGCATGGCACTACCTATGAAATATTCTTGTCTGAAAAACTAAACTTGAATGTGACCAAGCCTCCAGGCATAAATACCAATTTACAGGAAATATGGTTTGCAAGACCCAGTTCAATTACACACAGGAAGTAATCAGCCAGAATGATTTCTTAACAGAGTAGCATATAGAGTATGGTTCTTAGATCAACAGCTTCAATATCAACTGGAAAATGCAAACATTTCTGATTCTTCCCATAGGTATTATGGCATCAGAAAGAGTGAGGATAGGGTCGACAGACTATTTCTTAAAAATACCCCCAGGGGATTTTTAAAAAAGATTTATTTATTTATGCATACAAGAACTGGGGTGTAGGCCAGAGGTGCAGGGGGTGAGAGGATTCACCAGAGATAAAGTGGGGTTTAGAATAGGTGCATCTACTGAAATACACTGGTGAGGGGAGCAGCAGGTGAGACAGGAGAGGCCTGCTGTGCCAAGTGGGTTAGCTCCCTGGCCAGGGATCGAACTCATGCTGCAGTGGCTAGCTATAGCTTGATAGCTTGATAGCGCTGTGTCTTTAGCCCTGCGCCACCAGGGAGGCTCCCCAGGGGATTTTGATGTATACTTAAATCTAAGGACTATAGTTTTAAAAAATTAAACATGGAAAATTTTTGAAAAAGGAAGGGGAGTGGAGACTGTTAGAGAATAAAAATATTAAGAGACAAAAAATAAAACTAAGTGCAATGCTGGATTACATTATTGATATTCTGAAACTTACTTTAACCCAATTTAATAATAGTCATAGAAATTGTTGGTACTGGGGAAAAAGAGAAGCATTATAAAAACTTCTAATTCATAAAGAATTAATAACTAGATTCTCACAGGAATTGGAAAGGGGCCATGAATTGCTTTTCCTCATATTCTGAAACTTTTTTTTTTAATATTAAATTTTATTTTTATATTCCCCCATACAATTGCAAACGCCCCATTCTGACCCCAATCCTTCCCCTCCCGCCCCCCACCCCCCAAAAAGTGTCTCTGGTTCATAGTTTTTTGTTGATTTTGATTTTCACTTTCTTATATTCATTTTCCTGGTCCCTTATTTAAGTTTTCTAGATTCCTGCTATGAGTGAGACCAATATTCTGAAACTTTCTTTTGCTTTGCTCTTATCATTCATCCTTCTGGCTTCAGCTCTTCAAACAGAGCCCTGAGCCATTTAGAAGAAAAGAGTCATCATGAAGAATTTAAAAAATACATAAGAAAATGTTACTTACATTATGTTTATGACAGAAATTAAGGGCCTGAAGTGTTTGCCATAATACACTTTTGATTACTCCATCAGCAACTCTGGGGAAAAAAAAGAAACAGGAAATGAAAACTCCCAGGATGGATGTCCTACAGCGGGGCTGGGAATAGAAGGGCTTAGGCAGGGCTTCCCGTGACGAATGAACACAGTGCAGAGTGTCTTGGGAATGTTGTTTATAAAAAATGTTTGAATGAAAACTGCCTCACAATTTTTTCATTACATTCATATAATTTTCTGTTGGAATTTGAAATGTTTTTACCATGAAAAATGATACATGCTTATCCCCAAAATCAAACAACACAGGAAAGATATAAAAAGAATTGACTCAAATCTTGCTAGCCCAAAATAATTGCTGTCACTTACAGTGGCTGTCTCTTCAAGCATTTCTTTCTTGCTCTCTGCATTTATTTTTAAACATTGATTTAAAAAATGCATCTATATGCATACATTTAGGAGTCTATCTATGAATCGCTCTCGCACCTGCCTAACACCATTCCATTCTCTGCAACTTCCCCTACCTTTTTCACAAAAACTTTATGCATAGAGATGTAAATGCTAATATTTATATATATATATATTTTAGTGGTTATAGAGGATCTCATTATATGAAAGTATCATAATTTACTTAGCTTCCATTCATGAGCAATTAGGTTGGCCTAGTTTTATTTCTAGTGACAATGCTCAGTAAGTATCTACAATCATTCATCTTATTGGGGATGGATCTTTTCAAGGTAAGTTCTAGAAGTGGGATATCTGGGACCAATGGTAGGCCCATGCTACATTTTGATGCTGTAGATATAAACTTCAGGTAGACCTGAGACCTGGCTTAGCAGAAAAAAAAGGCAGACTTGAACACTGACCTTCACTTCCTACAATTCATGTTTGCAGTAGACACTCAAGCATCTGCTGGAGTTGTTTTGCCACAGTTTCTTACACCTAGTAAGCAGCAGGTAAGCACACAATCAGGGCATGCCAGGGAGAAAAATGTTCCATGAGAATGAGAGGTTGGGAGCCTCTTGTCCCTGCAGAATCCTCACTTTTTGGAAAACATTGAAAAGTATTTTCCACTGGGGATTTGGGGGACTTATATTCTGTCTGGTAGTAGTCTAAGAACTTGTACGACCATCTCTATAAGTTACAGCCATTAGGTTCTCTAGCTTCTCTGTTCATGTCTTCCTGTTGCTCACTTCACTGCCCACGATGATGCCATCACAGTTACACACCACCCTTTCTAAGGAGGCTGATGCCCATTTACACTCCCACCAAACATCTGTGCATTTAAGTCCCTACTCTTCATTATATTGCCCACATTTGGTTTTGCCAGCATTACGCTCGCCAATCTGTGGTTGAAATAAAAGGACATTTCATTTTGGTTTTCACTTGCATTTCATTAATTATTAGTGATTTTAATTTTCATAAAATTATTGGAATATTACATTTCTTCTCTTGCCCTGTTCATTGGCCTTTATTGTTTTTTTGATTGATCTGTTTACTCCTTCAAATTGACTGACAAAGTCTATGGTAAAGTATATCAGAGTGTGGATTATGCTACAAATTTTTCTCTCAGAGTTTTGTTTTTCAACCCTATTCGTGGAGATGGGATTGATGTTTGCATATTTTCAAAAATCCAAAACACAAGTTTTCTTTCACTAATTGTCTACTGTGAGGATTTTTTAATTAAAAAAAATTAAAAACAAAATTCCAAACATACCCATCCTCAGCTTTCGTACTTTTGTCATGTTTGGATTCTGAAATCATATATTTAGATTGCTTTTTAAACACAGAACTCATCATGCAACAAGCTGGTCTTTTAGAACAGTGGGGTGGCTGGTCTTTTAGAACAGTGGGGTGGCCCCTGTGGCACCAGCTCCATCACTCTGTGAGTCTGGGCACATGCTGAGAAGAAACAATAGGTCCATGGGGGAATTTCTCTCAGCAGTTTTCTGATCTCAGGTCACAGTTACGGTGGCAAGCCCTTGATGTCTAAGATCTGGTAGCAGTCCCATGACTCTGGCTTAACAGAAAAAAAAGGCAGACCTGAACACTGATTTTTAATTTTTAATATTGTGAAGGCACCTAATTCCCAGCATTAAATCCCCTTTTTAGAGTGCTTTTTATTTCCTGCACTGAATTCTGATATAACTCTATCCTTCCCCCTTTTTACCTAGAGCCAAACCTGAATCAATTACTTAGATTTTTTATAAGAGGTAGAGGAATAGAATAGACAGAGCACTGTCAGATAGAGGTCAAGTCCTAGCTGTGCTGCTTGCTAGTTTTTTTTTTTTTACCTTGGGCAAGATATCTGTGCCTTCAATTTTCCTCATGTGTAAAAATGGACTATTACCCCATAGACTAATTTTATACATGAGGAAAACTGAAGGCACAAATAACTTGCCCGAGGTTATAAAGCTAGCAAGCAGCCCAGCTGGGATTTAAACTCTATCTGGGTTTTAAGTCTGAGTTTGAGTCTGGGTTTTAACATTTGCCTAGGTTCAGAAGATGAGGGTGTGAGTTTGGATGAGGCTAGATGGTGGGACTGAGACTCTGCACAGAGATTAAAATAGCCCCAAAAGAATAGCAAGGGGCCGAGTGGTGGGGACGAATAGGGAGTGGAGGAAAAACAACAGGGAGGCAGTGTGGCTGAAGCACAAGTGAAGATATCGCTGAAGCTGGCGAGGGTCAAATTATGGCGCGCCTTATACATCTTGGTAAGGAATTGGGATTTTGCTCTAAATTCAAAGGAAGTCATTGAAAGGACTCAAGGAAACACACATATTTGCAGAATGGATTTCTGGGAGCAAAGCAACACAGGGAGATTAGTTAGGAGTTGATTTAATGATCCAGGTGAGATTTGGTGATTCAATTGGGAAGAGGTGACAGGAAAGGAAATGGAGCTCCATCCTTGTGGGGGGGGGGCAGAGGAACTCAGGGTCCTGCTCATGTGGAAATGGGGTGCTAGATGGGATGGAAGGACTGCAGGCACAGGGTCAAGTAATAGACTCTGGAAACCAGGCCGGGGCAAGGGCAGACACTTGGCAGACCCTAGTGTGAATGTTACTAACGTGGAACCAGACGGGACATAATGTCTCAGGGAAGTATGGAATGGCTGTCCTAGAAGAGGGCTGTTTAGGGGCACCTCCCTGGAAATGCCATGGTTCTGTTCAAAACAGAATCCTTAGTCATCTCAGACTCCAAGAAGGCAGACTCCATCAAAGGCAAAACAAACATACACAATAACAACTACAAACAAAAGCCACTAAAGCAGAGAACTATTGAGAATACAGATCCACACGGTGCTCACTGCAGAAAGACAGAACACCACGACATCATTCAGCCACAGGCAGCATTTTTCAGTGTTTTGGAGTGAGAGAAAGCCTTCGGTGGAAATCAACTGATAACTCAATGTTTAAATACAATACTTTGGGTGAGTGCAAAAACAAACACTGCCAAGTCCTAATGAAGGATTTGAGAGCAAAAAATGAGACATCCTAGTTCAAGACCAAATGGGTTAAAAGGGTAACATGAACAGGAATTCAAACTGGATTGCTCAGAGACTACTTTCTTAGCCACTCAGGGGAAACTTTATGCTGACATCAGAACTCACTGTCTTTTCATATAACTTAATGTGGAAACTTGACTTCATTCTCATTACCAAAGATGAATTGGGTTCTGGCATTAAACTTGCTATACTAGAATAAAATCCAATCTTGCTACTATGGCCCACCAGACTCTGAATGACTCCACTTCTATTGACCTTCCACCTTTATCTCTTATCTCAGCCCCAAGCTCTACTCCAGCCCCATTAGTTTCTGCTATTCCCTGAACATGTCAGCCTTACTGACACCTCTAATCTCCCCCTCCCCACCAGGCATTCTCTAACCCCTCACTTTGCTCTATATTTCTTCAAAGACTTGTGATCATGCAAGGACTTTGTTTTATCCATTAGTGTAGGTTCGGGGCCTAGAGCAATCCCAGTATCTAATGGGTGCTCAATTAAGTTTGTTTCTCAGACACTCTCAGATATTTTATAAACTAACAACACCCTGTAATAAATTCCTTTTTTGCTTTAAGCTAAGGTGAAGTCTTGCTGTTGAATCCCGACCAGTTCAGAATATGATACCAGAAGTGGGTGGGGGAAACACTCAAGGTCTTGGAAATCTAGAATAAGCTATCTGATTTCATTGTGTCTGAAGTCAGGAGGCACTCATTACCATCAGCAACTGGAATGCTGGTAGATGGGCACCTAGTGAGGAAACAAATTTTAAGAAATCATCTGGAATAAGCTCCTATGTAAGGCAAAGCTTTGGTGATAGGTGGCTTGAATATGATAGAACAATATGAGTAATAAAAGTGGGTCAGCTGGCTATATCAAACTTCCCTTGACAAAGTTTTTGAAAGTACAGGTTGAGGGCTTTAATATTTCCTACTACATAGTTAGGAAACCAAGAGTTTCAATGTTTTCCTAAAATAGCTCCTGATTTCTTGTACCTATAGAATTCACCAGAGGACCCACTGGTTCACACTGACTGCCATGAGATGACTGCAAAGTTGGACACAGAATACTCCTGCAGAGTGCTAAGTGACTACATAGCTTGTATTTATGGGAGTAAGTTAACTTCTCAGTTCACTGAAAAAGACATACTTCAAGAACTGAAATGTAACACTCAGGAGTATTCACATAATTAAGAGCACCCCAACCTCTACCAACTGCCACTTCTCATGCAAAGTAGTCACCAATTTTACAGGATGAGTCTAGTTTTGCCTCGTTAAGTCCCCTCAAATGTGTTGCATGGGGGTGCCAGTACTTCTCAAGGCTCCTCCCTGCCACCACTCCAGGTCTCTAAACCTTAATCAAAGTCAGATCCCAGCATGTTCTATGGAGGTCTATTACAAAGGTAAAGTAGAGGGAAATAAAAATTTACACAGCAGAAAGAACCATAAAATTTTGCTGATTTGTAGTGGGGAGTTAATGTGGAAATGGGTCTCATAGGAGGAGAATCAGAGAGGAAGAAGCATAATTTTTGGATCGGGATGATTATAACAATCTGAGCACACTTAAAAGAGATTCTGGTTTCAACAGACTGTCTGGTACAGCTAGGAATCACTGTAGTTGATAGCTGCAATGGCTGACTGAAACCTGAATTAAATGGTTGCCTCTGCCCGATGCAATGGAGATGCCAAAAATTCATTAGTAAAATGAGGAGGAGGAAATGCAAAGATTTGAGGAGAGCTTTATCTAGGCAACATGCTCATCTTCTTTCTAACTTTGTCTCCCCAAAATTTTAATGGGAGCACAAATTTATGCCCTTCCCCCAAATATGCATTATTGCTTTCAGTTTTCTGTTTTGGTAGCACTGAGACTTTAACCCCTGTGCCACCAGGGAGGCCCCTTCAGTTTTCCATTCTGGTAAAGAAGCAGCATGTCAGACACTTCTAGTAGGTTCTACCCACTACAATAACCTTCATTCCTTGGATCAGAGTCAATTGGCTCTTTTTCCACTTGCTAGAGTATCTTTTTCAACTATCTAGTTAGGAAGTGTAGAAATAACCCCAAGACTGAATTTGTGGACCTACTAGGACCACAAAATTCCATTTGCTTTCTGATTCTCATTAAGTCCTTTAGCCCTGCCCCCACAAAGTAGTGAACCACAGTGGTGTTCAAAATCATAGCTGATTGACTTTACTTGAAAGCATTGTCCAGTATTTCCCAAAATATTGGGTATTTCTCCTTTGCCAAAGCACGACTGTCCTGGTGTATGGCCAAGGACAGTAACTCAGAAAATTTAGTCTTGTAAGAGGATAAGTATGCACATATAAACATGTCAGATAGTAAGTGCCAAGTACCACAACAGGATAAAAACAAAATTCTGGGCATATTCAAAGGAGAGAAGCAATCAAATAAGTACCACAATAAAAACCAAAGAGCTAAGATGTACAGATGGAAAAATGGAAAAATGCACATCATCACTTACCATCAGGGAAATGCAAATCAAATTTACAATGCGATAGCACCTCATACCTGTGAGAATAGTCCACATCAGAAAGACCAAAAACAAGTGTTCATGAATGTGGAAACAAGGAACCTTCTTACCTTATCACATACAATTCCAACCATCCCAATACATTCCCTACTGTTGCCCAACTGCTCTCCTTATTTCTTTTAATACTTTATCAAAGATTTATCTTAACTCCCAAATACACTTCTCTGCAGTTATCTTGCAGCAAATACAGTTTTAAAGAACAGAGTCCTCCAGTTTCTCAAAATATTAAAAAAGAGCTACTGCAATTCCACTTTTAGGTATCTTCCCAAAGAATGCAAAAACTTCAAAGGGATATATGAATTCCTGTATCCATAGTGTTTATAATAGTTGCTTTATGGACATTATGGAAATAAAAGGTGAGTGGGCAAAGAAGATGTGACATATATATAGTCAATGGAATACTACTCAGTTAAAATAAGATAAAATCTTGCCATCTGTGATAACGCGGATAGAACTGGAAGGGACTATGGTAAGTGAGATAAATCAGAAGAAGGAAGATAAATACTGGGTGGTTTCACTCATGTGTGGACTATAAAGAAACAAAACAAAGAGCCAGACCAAAACAAACCTTGAAATCTGAGCACATAACTAAGGGAGTGGGAGCAAAGTGTGGAGGGATCCCAGCGTACTATGGTGGAGGGGTAGGGACCCCTCCCCCCACCTTATTTAGCTAAAACTAATATGATTTAATATTTGGCAGTGAAATTTCCCTTTAAAAATTTTTTTTGATGTAATCTAACCTTTTCAAGTTCAAAAAAAAAATCCCACTGGCCTCCTGATTCATATTTGTGCAACAAACAAATCGGGGAGGCAGTATCTTTATAATAATATTTTCATCCAGAAATATAGATTAATTTAAATAATAAACCATTATTTACTTCAGTTAAATTTTGTTGTTATATTTATGTAGAATTTGAACAGTTCTTTTTATCTTTATTCCTAAACATTTTTTTGGTTGATAGTTAATGAGCTCTTTCATCACTAGATTTTCGAAAGTACTGATTGATAGATACAAAAGCTGTTAATTTTTGCATGTGAAATTTGGAGTGCTGTAGTCATTATGCTGAACTCCATTAGTTTTAGTATCTCTTTAGGCAATTTCCTTAATTTTGTAGAACAAAAACATAACGCAATAATGACAATTTTATCTCACTTCCAAAGTTATAGATTCTATTTGTTTTTCTTATTACATTAGTTAGAGCTCTCAGAACATTGTACCTTATAGTGATGACAACTGATATCCTTGCCTTTTTCTCATTTTACACTGACAGTTCATTTAGTGTGGTATCATTGAATATAAAATTGGCTGTTGCTTTAAAGAGATTGGGTGTGCACAGTACAAGTATGTGGGATAAAATATTTTAAACCTAGTTTGCTAAAATATTTTTTTAATTAGGGAAGGGTGCTGAACTTATCAAGTGCCTTTCAAATTTCATCAACCATATCTACTTTTTCCTCCTTTAACCTATTAGTGAATTATAAGAAATACATAAATATTTATAAATTCATACAAATTATATGAATTAGATTTTCTAATATTGAACTAAGGTTATTTCCTTGAATTCAGACCATCCAAAGTATAATTGGATCACAGTGATTGCATCACAGTAAATGCACTGTGATTTTCATCTGCCATAGGTCTGCTTCCTAATATTTTTACTCTAGGTTAATACTAGTTTGCCCTTTAAGCACATGCTATTGAGATTGGAGATGCATCTGGGTAGGAAGGGGAACCGTGGTTCCCATGTGAAATTTGCCATAGTTAATCCCAAGTATAATGAAAGAGGGGACCAGCCATATAAAAATTTAGTTTCTAGGTTACTTACCCATTTGGGTTTCTTTCTAGCTCATTCAAAAGAGTATGATCACAGTATTCAAAAACTAGATGCATTTTCCTTTTTCTTCTGAATACCTCAATGAGGTTCACAAGGTTTGAGTGTTTTAATTGCTGCAAAGGAACAGAAATGCAAAGTTTAGTCATTTGTTTCTCATAATAGTTTCACCCAGACTCCTTACAATTTTCTAGTAAGGCTTTGCTTATCATTCTCTATGCAGTTCTTGTGGAGGTTTTATTACAGCTATTCATAAGAGAAATTCCTTTTAGCAAGAAACACAAAATCTAAAAGTTGGAAGACATTTAAGAATTCATCTGATGTACCTATAATAAACAGTAACTAAGCTGCTTACATCCCCCTGGAGATAGCAAATGAAGTACATAACATATAAGTACTAAAATAAAACATACATTATGCATTTTATGGAACTTATAAATAACTAAGTCATAAAATGACCTGAATGACAAAATCAAAAGAAATAAAATTATTGAGTAAAAGACTATTAAAATCATCCATGCCCACTTAGCTTACATAGTGTTATGGATTTAATGTAAATGTCAGCTGGATTTAAAACCACTTTGGATTTGGGCCTCCCTGGTGGTGCAGGCGGTTGAGTGCCACACTGTGAAGCTGTCTGCAGCCTCTGCAGTGTGGGTTCGATCCCGGCCAGCCGGCGAGAATCCCATATGGCGAAGCAGACCTCTCCTGTCTTGCCCGCTGCTCCCCTCAGCAGTGTATTTCTTCAGTCTGCCTGTTCTGTTCCCTGCTCTGTCTCCGGTGAATCCTCTCACCCTCCCGCGCCTCTGGCCTGTACCCCAGTTCTTGTATAAAAATAAATAAATCTTAAAAAAAAAAGAAACACTTTGGATTTTAGTGTTGGCTCTCAGAAACACTAGATCTCTCAAGTATGATTCAACTGCCGGTTCTAGGAGTCCCCATAGTTAGTCTGTATTTTAAATTGATGTGGCATATTTTCAGCTCTATTCTTTGATTCTGTTCTCTCTCATGCGTGGATGATTCATGTGTTAAATTCTATACCCAAACTGAAGCATCAGAAGGCAGCCTCTGTTTAATATTACAAACCAAAGAGAAAAGCCTGGTTAAGTAGGATAAACTATTAACAACATAACTGCATCATTTATCATTCAACCAGGGTAGTGGGTGGGAGCCAGGATTGTCCCAGGCACACTGGCACACACGAGTTAGGGACTACATCACTTAGCATACAAATCAGGACACTTTTGAAGGGGGATGTGAATCAGATGGAACACTGGGACAAAAGCTATAAACCAGGATAGCTGATCATTCCTATTTACAACTCATCTTCTCTGCTGTTTTCCCAGTTTGGTATTGTTGTGGGCCCGTAGCCAAGTTTTGGTCAACTGTGGACCCCTATAGGAGCGTGATCCCGATAGACCACACTGTAGCTAGGTGAGGATTAGGCTATACCCTCCAGGTCTGCCTAAGTGCACCCTATGATGTGAGCACAATGACAACATTACCTAATGACATATTTTTCAGAAGTTTCCTATCATTAAGGGATGCATGACTGTAGGCAAATCAACTTTCCAAAATTTATCATTTACTGAGAAAGATATAGAAAGAGAGAAAACATAGTATTTTGTACACAGTAGAAGTAGATCCTCAATGATTATTTTATAAGTCCACTAGGGAGTCCTAGGTATGAGGGCTGACTTAGCATCCTGTATATCCGTAACTAAATATAGCTTGAACAAAAAACAGAACAAAAAACATTACCCTACAACTATGTGTCTGCTGCCAGTTTGGGGAAAGGGAATCCATTATCCTTATACATTAAAAATATGCGCACTTGGGCTTCCCCGATGGCGCAGCGGTTGAGCACTGGGTGGAGAAGCTGCCCGCAGCCTCTGTAGCACTGGTTCGATCCCTGGCTGCTCCCCGGCCACCAGAGGAGGGTCCCACACGGGGCGCAGATCTCTCCTGTCGCCCGCTGCTCCCCTCAGCAGTGTACTTTGGTCCTTCTGCCTGCTCTGCTCCCCACTCTGGCTCTGGTGAATTCTCTCACCCTCCCGCACTTCTGACTGTACCCAGTGCTTGAATAAATAAATAAATAAATAAATAAACAAACAAACAAATAAATAAATAAATAAAATAAAAATAAATCTTAAAAAAAAATATGCGCACTTCATGAAATCAACTTGTTTTCTTATGGGCTCCACTCTACCTGCGCCATTGCCTTAGAGCAGAAAGACAAAGGAGGAAACAGGTCACACCAGAAAAGCTGGCTGTGCTGCAGCACAAACCACAGAATGGTAGCAAGCTGTCTCTGCCAGGAGAGTAAGGGGTTCCCAGATGCCACAGCTGGATGAAAAGTCAGGTGAACCTGGTCAGATCTGTTCTCAGGCAGATCAACCATTTAATCTCCTTTGCTAATGAAATTAACTTAGTCCAGAAAAACAGTAACCTGTTGAAAGTAAACTGGTAGTAATAGGCGTACGTGAGAAAGGTAAGGCAGCTTTTAGCAGGGAAGGAATCTGTTCAGGGCACGCATGTGAGTAACATACCAAAAGGCAGGAAAGATGTGCATTCTGAGAACCATCGCCAAGTCTAAGCAGAGCTGGAATCTGAAAACCCTTTACCTTACAGTTCATTCTCAAATTTGGCCACTTGTAACCCAGGACATGCTACCCGAGCATTAATTTTACTTGAAAACTGGGAGAGGGTGTAAGGGAAGGTAAAAAAGCATTACTTTTACTAGAAACCTCCTACGGGCCTCCCCTGTGGCGCAGCAGTTGAGCGCTGGGCTGAGAAGCTGCCCGCGGCCTCTGCGGCACCAGTTCGATCCCCGGCTGCTCCCCGGCCACCGGAGGGGGGTCCCACATGGCGCGCAGACCTCTCTTGCCGCCCGCTGCTCCCCTCAGCAGTGTACTTCGGTCCTTCTGCCTGCTCTGCTCCCCGCTCTGGCTCTGGTGAATTCTCTCACCCTCCCGCGCTTCTGACTGTACCCAGTGCTTATATAAATAAATAAATAAATCTATTAAAAAATTAAAAAAAAAAAGAAACCTCCTACCATGGGGCTAGGACACAGCCTGCATCTTGGCCCTGTGCTGGAGCTGGCTGTGTCCCAGCTTCTAAGCAAGGTAAATATGCTCTTGAAAAGTCTGTGCATATCAAAGTATATTTAAAAAAAAACTACTAGAACTTATTAGATGAAGGAAAGTGCTACAAATAATACTTGAAAAGGGTAGAGAATATGATACCCCCTGGATTTCTGGCTGTTCTAAATACAGATGACAGACACACGTCAAAAGTAAATGTGGGCTTTGTTCTTGAGGAAAACAGAGTTTTGTTACTCAAACCGTGGTCTGCGAGCCAGCAGCTCTGCACCAGCAGTTTGTTAGAAATGCAGAATCTTGGGGAGGGGGGAGCCCAGATTTCTGACTGAGAACCCGCAAGGGGTTAAGTCGCAACCTATAAAGCTGTCCACAGCCACTGCAGTACAAGTTTGATCCCCTGGCTACCCACATGGCGCAGCAGACCTCTCCCGACTCGCCCGCTGCTCCCCTCAGCAGCGTATTTCAGTCAATCCGCCTGTTCTGTTCCCCACTCTGTCTCTGGTGAATCCTCTCACCCCCCACACCTCTGGCCTGTACCCCAGCTCTTGTATGCATAAATAAATAAATCTTTAAAAAAAAAAAAGAACTTAAGAATCTTGTGTGTGAAATCCCTATCAGAGAGAAAACAACTAGAATAAAACCTGTGCGTAAAATGTGTGTAAGTAGCTCGGGGTGACATTCAACAAGTCTGCGACACAGTGGAGCGCACACAGTGGAGCACAGGCAGGGTGAAGCCACCTCCATCCCCACAGGGGCCCAGCCACTGGTCTGTGGGCTCTCCTGGGCCAGGAAGGGTGTTTTACTTGCTGGTGGGTAGGGAGGATTTGGGAGGGAGGCAGAGAAAGGCCAGGGTTGGGGGATGGAGGGTAAACACTGGGATGAGGAGACATATCAGTGGATAGTTACTAACCACACTGGAAATGCATCAATATTTTTAACAACCTACAGCTATACTCCTAATAACAGATAAATATCAGTGTGGCCCATGTTTAAAATGATGATCAACTTATTCCCAAGGTTGCTAACACAAAGAAATTGAAGTTCATTGAAACAAAAAAAATGACTTTAAAATTCTTCGTAATTCTGGCATACATGTTTCACCCAATATCATGCTATTATAGCAAGATACAGTTAACTTACCTTCAACATACGTATTTCTCTTAGTGCTATTTTCTTAACAAGAGGATCATCTTCAGATTCCACAAATTTTTTAATAGCCACTACTTGTCCAGAGGTTTTGTTTCTGCATTTGAATACAACCCCATAAGAGCCTTCTCCAATCTTAGCTAATTTTTCATACTTTTCCATTAGAGTTGAAGCAACCGAAATGGCTGTATTGGCTGACTTGCACCCGGGAATGTGGCAATGTCACACCTGGAAAATAAGATGACTAGGCTTAATCAAATTGTGAAGGACAATGTGCTTATGATTTATTATATAAAACCAAATTGCCCTAAATGCTAAAGGCTTATTTCCATCAATTGCAAATAACAGTTAACAATATTTGGAAGCAATTTTGTTAGTGTAGTTTAGTCCTATGCCTTTCTAGATACGGCAACGCTTTCATGTATCATTCCTTATAAAACCTAAACATAAAATGTTTTATTTAAAGAATTAAATTGAAAGAATTTGTGGAAACTCATCTAACCCACTGTTATCATCCTCAAGGAAATGATTAAATACAAAGCTGTAAATTCAGCTGAACAAACAGTTCACACTTTCAAATATGGTATTTATCTTCTTCCTCTTAATTCATTTTGAATACTGCAGAGACTAGAGAGAGGCAGGAAGAAGACATGTTATAAAGTGTTACAGTTCCACCTGGTGGAGAGAAGAATGAGACGATGTGAGTTGTTGAGCACAGCAGCCAGCAAAAAATGATAAAACAATCTTTTCAAGGCCGATTTATCACACTTAGTTTTTTATATGGATGAAGGAACAGCTCCTTTAGATCTTAGCTTCCAAAGAAAATAAATAAAAAGGCCAATATCTCTAACTCGTCATGAATGCTGTCATGCCCACAGTGATTTCTCCTTTTTACCCCTATATTGAGGTAACACTTTATATACGTCAGAGGAATAGCTACACACCCCCTCAAATGTATGTTACTACCCCAGTCCACTTCCAAGCACCCATAATCCTTTAATGTGGACCACAGTGCTCCCTCCCACCTTTGATCCTACCCCTCTTCCCTTCCCTTCTAGTCTCCTCAATTCTGCAATTGTATTTCTAGGGTTTATTTTGGTTTGGTTTTGTTAGTTCTTTTGTGTTTTTGTCTGTTTGTTTCCTCTATATTCCACACTCATAGTTATTTCTATGGAAACACTGGACTTAATTCATCCTGTCTCTCCTGCTGCTCCCCTCAGTAGAGTGTTTCAGTAGATCCCTCTGTTCTGCTCCCAGCTCTGTCTCTGGTGAATCCTCTCATCAGCCCTCGTCTCCCCTTCCCACCTCTGGCCTACCCCAGCAGTTGTATGCATAAATAAATAAAATAAATCTTTTTTTTTTTTAAAAAATAACAATATTTTTGCAATTATTCTTTTAAAGCAGATTTTACTCTCTTTAAAGGGAAAAAACTCAGCCATACACATTACATGGAGAACCCATCACAGATCATGTTCTGATAATTGTTAATTATACTGTATTTTTACATAGATATTATTATCTTCAAGGTATTGGGGTATAAGCATGTATACATTTGCCTTTCTTTAGCCTAGTTATAGGTGACTGTGAGAAAAACAGAAGAAACTAGGAATTTGCTTTAGAAAGTTATTGGTATAGAACTTTGTAGATTTATGAACTTAACCTACATGATAACCAGTTATGGTTACTATGGGAAACTATGAATAGGCAAAAAAGCTTAATTAAGAAGTTTTAGTTTATGTGCTATTTTTTTCTCTCTCTCTAGGTAGACAATTTGATCTATTGCTCTACAATTTTCCTTTTCTTTTCCCAAAAGGTTTAATAAGTATTGGTTCCTCAGATTAATATTTAGATTTCTCAGTCATTTCAAATTGCTGAACATAGTAAAGCACCAGGAAATAGCACTTCACCCGTAAACCTCTCAAAATTATCTTTTTTCTTTCATATATATTTTACATCATTCTTCCTTTTTGTACAATGTATGCTTTTTCCTCTCAGGTCTAGTCCCCTTAAAATTCCCACCACCAATTTACCCATGAACCCTCACCACAGTCCCTTGGGCTCTTCTCTCCCCCTCCCCTGCAGTGTATCTGATTAATAGTTGCCTATTGTTAATTTATTATAATTTTTTTTACTGATCCCTTATATGGGCCCCCGACCTTCCTCCTGTAAGTGAAACCATCCAATATTTTTCTTTTTCCTTCTGGCTTATTTCACTGAGCATAATACCTTCCAGCTCCATCCATCTAGCTGTGAATGACATGAGTTTATCTTTTTTGATGCTGAGTAATATTCCATTGTGAATATATTCCAGATCTTCTTGATCCAGTCATCTATTTTTGGGCATTTGGGTTGTTTCCATAGCTTGCCTATTGTAAACAAGTGCTACAGTAAATTAGGGGTACAGGGATCCTTTTGAATTACTGTTTTTATGTCCTTTAGGTAGATCCCTAGTAGTGGAATTGCTGGGTCATATGGTAGCTCCATTTTCAGTAGTTTGCGGAACCTTCACACAGCTTTCCATAGTGGTCAGATCAGTCTGCACTCCCACCAGCAGTGCAGGAGAGATCCTTTTTCTTCACATCCTTGCCAACATTTGTTGTTGCCTGTTTTCTTAATATGTGCCATTCTCACTGGTGTAAATAAGGTGATGGCTCATTGTGGTTTGGATTTATATTTCCTTGATTACAAGTGATTTTGAACATTTTTTCACATACCTGTTGGCCATTTGCATTTCTTCTTTGGAGAAGTGTCTTTTTAGCTCTTCTGCCCATTTTTGACTAGATTGTTTATTTTTGTTGAGTCCTGTCAACTCTTTGTACATCTTTGTGATCAGTCCCTTATCAGTTGTATGGAGTGCAAAATTTCCTCCCAATCAGCAGGGTATCTCTTTGTTTTGGTTAATGTCTCTTTTGCTGTGCAGAGCTTTTTAATTTGATGTCGTCCCAACTGATCATCTTTTCCTTCCTTTCTTTGCTTTGGGGGATGTGTCTTAAGAGATGTTACCGAGGTGTATGTCATGTAGTGTTTTGCCTATATTTTCTTCTCTATATTCTATGGCTTCAAGTTTATGTCCAGTTCTTTTATCCATTTTGAGTTGTTTTTTGTGCATGGTGTGAGGTAGTAGTCTAGCTTCATTCTTTTGCATGTAGCAGTCCAGTTTTCCCAGCACCATTTATTGAACAAACTCAAAATTATCTTTTTGTTTTTTAAAGCCCTTATGCGTTCATAAAAGATGTGTCTAATTATGCAGATGGGAGTTAGATGAAGGCAGAAATACCACAAAAGAATTTATGTCCCTAATTCTAGTTTACTAGGACTCTACCAAAATTTTTAGAAGCTGTAATTCCTAGTCTCTTACCTGAAATCCAGATCAAATGCTTGACGAACACTTCTACAGGGATGAACAGAATCACCTCAGAACCAAAACATTCATTTCTTACCATTAATCCCTACTCGAAGTTCACAAACTTGTTCTACATCACACTATATGTGTCAAGATACACATGGCAGAGAACTCTGAGGCAGCCAAGGAAAATGAGAGCTGTCTGAATTTAATCTCTTAGTATCTTTTTCACAAAACTAGAGAAATCAACCGAACAACCCAGTGTCTTCAAATAAGAGACAGAGGTATCTATAAACTTAAGTAGAAAAGTAATCCTCCAATTCTGGACAAGATAGCTCTTGCGCTCCCACTATGAGCCTTTGCAGAGAGCAAACAAGGGAGTGGGGTGGAACCTTGAACAACTGCAAAGGTGAGAAAAGAGGAAAAGAAGAGGCTAAGCCAGATTTAAATCGCTCCCTGGAGGAGAAAATAGATCATCTGTGCAAAAATATATGTGTCCTGGTAGAACTGAGCATTCATTACAGAGAAGGGAAAGAATTATGGTGACATCAAGCTTATCAATGCAAAGAAAAAATTCAGCAGCATTTTGAAGAAATACAAGGGAAGAAAGTGAAAAAGCAAGGATTATTTAGAATTTTACATTCTTGTAAGAATGTACATTTTACGTTCTTATAATTTTACATTCTTATAAGAATAATCAAGCATACATGGAATATTCTCAAAATTTGATTATATTAGGTAACAAAGACAGTATCAGGAAGTTTCAAAGAATAGAAACATAAACAACACTGATCACAAACTATCAAACTAGAAGATGGAACAAAATTTAAAAATAGAAAAATCTGTAAGACTTATAGAAACTAAAAGTTTACTATTAATCATCTCTACAAACTAAACTAACAGTACTTAAAAAAATGATAATGAAAACATTCATATAAAAATCAATGGAATGCATTTAAAGCAGTGGTTCTCAACTGGGGGCAATTTTGGCTCCAAGGGAATTTTTCACTATCTGTCACATCTAGAATCCTACTTCTTTGAAAAATTTGAAATAGTCAAATCATTAACTTCAAAAAGGAGAAAGAACAAATAATCAAAACAATAAATGACAGAGGGAATAACCACTTTAATCATGAGACTACTTTGCAGGCATGGATCAAGATGAATTTGAAAACTTAGAAGTGGACAATTTCCTAGAAAAACAGTTCACAAAATTTTACTCAACAGAGATTGAGAATTTAGACTAATTTCTGCATAAGAGATTATAAAAATAAAAAAGCAATAGAGAAAATATTTTTTAAAAAAATCTCGCAAAAAACTACCCAAAACAAAACAAAAACAACACAGCTTTAGGGTTCGAGAAATCAACCAAAGGCAAAACAACCAAATTGAGATCCATTTACCACAAGCTGCTAGAACTCCACTGAACAGTGGGAGTCTGTGGCTTCTGCTTGGGGTTGATGCCATCCCAACTCTACCCTCATACCCTAGCTGAGTCGTGCAGCAGTATCACCAACCTGGACCAGTGAGAAACCAGCAGCCTGACTCCCGGGGGAAATGTGCTTTACACAGACAGACAGACAGACACACACACACGTGTGCACTTGAGGAGGAGGACAGAGAGACTAGGAGAGGAAATGATAAAACAAATGGAGCACAATGTAAACAGCCAATGTAGATTCATGAGCTCATTGTACTATTCCTGCAAATTTGAAATTACTATATCAAACAGAGTTATTTAAAAGCCCATATGTGGTGGACCTACAGTGTTTTAAGTTACTTTTCTTCTTCATACCTACTTACATCAAACCAAAAACATCTTTTCTAAACATCAATATAGTATCAAAAAATTACAGACCTCAACATCTTCCAGCCTCTAACAACACAGAATAAAGCTCCAAGTGAGGATTTACAATCCTTTAGGTCCTGGTCTCAATGTACCTTTCTCTAACTGCTTTTCAGGTTCTTCCTCAAACACTGTCAGGTCTCCCAGTTTCTGCTCATTCTACTGCCTGGAAGGTTTTACACTGAATTCTCTTCATCTTTTGCATTTCAACTCAATTGTGTTTTCTGTTTTGCCATCCCAAATCCCCAAAGACAGGCTATTTTTCTGCACACATACTGTGTTAACAACTTCCCCCATTTTTTAGAAACATTATTTATCACCCCTGACTCACACTGTTAGCTCACTGACAGGCACATAGTAGGTGCTCAATCATTTTGTTGAAGTCCTACTAGAATTTTATTCATTCCACTAAATATGTAAAATAATGTTTTATTAAAAAAGCAAATGCAATACTTACAATTCTTGGGCAGGAAATCAAGATTAAACAACGTTATAACTACTAGCAGGGAACAGATATAATTGAAAATATTTTTCATAGTCGTTTCATGGTCATAAGCGATCTCTATGAAGTTAAGAACTTTTGGTTACAGGGTCTTCTGAATTCAGAATTTATGAAATATTTGTTAATTAACATACAAAGGTAAAACAGATTTAGATGAATAGGTATTTAAGTGTCTCTTTAGTTTTAAGTGTTTTCAGTTTTTTTAAGTTTTTTTTAGTTTTTTAAAGTTTTTTTTGTTTTTTTAAGTTTTTTTTAGTTTTTTTGTGTCTTTTTAGTTTTAAGATTTTTTAGCATTTAAAATTCTTAGATCATTTCATTTCCATAGTCTTAAATAACTGCAAAATGATACACAAAGACACAACACACTTGAAAGCAGATTACTTGCCACAACTGTATCACAATGCGAGTCCTGAGGCTTCAAGAAAGCCTAAGGAACACACTGAGGGAAGGTAAACAAAATTAAGGGGGAGGAAATCAGGTGAAAAAAGCTCATTTCCTGATTAAAAAAATTTCCTAAACGTGTGAAGACTGGCTTCGGGAATAAGGTGAGGGTGGCTATTATGGGTGAGGCCTTCTAAAGACCAGGACTTGTCTATGTTCTGGTTGTAACTGTTTCCAATGCAACCAAACATTTATTTCTTCATATTTAATAAAACTAACCAGGAACACGGGCCACAAGACGATTCTGCATTTGCCTTAAGAACAGAACGCTGAGCCACAGAACCTCAGGGGCGCACACGTCTGTTTACCAACGCGTCTTGGCGATCGCAGGCACACCCCACACCGCGCGACTCACAGAACCCCGAGGCCGGCCCGGTCTAAAGCATCCCGTCCCCCGAGTGCACGAAACAGACCTGGGGGCTCGGCACAGCCCCCGGATCTCCGGGCTTGTGAACCGGCACCCCCAGTTAAGACGGCCCAGCTCCAGGCGCCACAGCCTCGCCCCACCCGCCGCCCCGCTCCCCAGAACCCCACTTCTCTCCAGGCCCCCCCGGGAGCCGCCCCGAGCCGCGCGGTCTGCGGGGGCAGCAAGTCACCTGCACCCCCGCTTCCCGCCCGGCCCGCCGCGGCCCCGAGACCCCGGGGAGCAGGGGCTCCCCCGCTCCGGGGCTCCCCCCCAGCCCCGCTCGTGCTCCCCGCACCCCGGCCCGCGCCCGTCCCCCGACCGCCGCGACGCTCCCCGCGGGCACCCGCACTTACGGCGCGGACCCCGGCGCGGGCGGCGCAGTCCCCGGCAGCCCCCGCCGCCGCCCCGAGTCCGGCCCCCGCGCGAGCAGCTCCCGCGCCGCCCGCCGCGGCGTCTCCCGGGCAACCGGACGCTCCGCGCGCGGGGCGCGGCCTCCGGAGCCGGGTTCCAGGCGGCCGCCGCGCGGGGCGCGGGCGGGGTTCGCCGCCGCCGGCTGCGCGCAGCTCGCCAGAGTGGGGGCGCGGGGGCAGCTTCTCCTCTGAGAACGTCCTTTGAGATGCCCCCCGCCCCGAGGGGGGCTCCCGGGAAACACTGGCCTTTCTCTACACTCGCCGATGACACGCAGTCCTGTTGCTCCCCGAGACCGCAAAAGCACAGGCAAACCGAGCCGGTGGTAAACGGGGCACCAGCTTTTTCCAGCCCGCGCAGACGCAGACACCCCCTTATGGGGCCCGACTCTCCGCCCGCGCCGGACTGCGCCCCGCTCTCGGGACACTCCCGGAGGTGTCCCCGGGACAGGTGGCTACCGCCTCCTGGGGTGCAGCTGCGGCCTCCTGCGCCAGCGGGGCTGACTCGGAATAGGCGAGTTTGCTACGCAGCGGGGAAGCAAGTTAAGCAAACAGATAATGCGATTAATGCTGTTTGGGGGGAAAGACAGTTTTTGCTTCTTGTTCCCAGGACGAAGTTAGGAACTCTGTTAACAACCGTGCACACGGCCTTTCTATCAAAACGCTCCCTGTCCCGCCCGGCTTAGGCTGTCCATTCTTCTTCCTTCCCGCAGAGATGATTTGCCCCCTTCCTCACCGATCTTGTTCCCTTCATTTTGCTTAGAAATATCCTCTATTTCCCCATCTTTAGAAAACCAAATCAGAAACCTTTTTTCCTGTCTCCTTCAAGACCAAACATAACTTTCATTAAACTCAAATCGACATAAACTCACATATATCCATTTCTGCATTATTTCTGCTTTCATAATTCTATAGACAATTTTCTAAGGATACCAATGACCACCTTATGTATAAGCCCAACATCCTATTTTCATTTCTTGGTGTTTGACCTCTGCACGCATACACGTACGAATACATGGTGTGTTCCAAAAAACAAGTTTATTTACAAAAACAGGATTGGGCTAAAAAATGTAGTTGTTTTCCAAATCCTGCTCTAACCCAAAGACTATACAATGCTTAACTGATTTTCCAGATTAGGAAACTGAAGATTCTAGAAAAAGACACCCTTTTCCCAAATGGGGGAATTTTATTCTTTCATGAAATTGAGATCACAGATCAAATAAAAATACAATGATCTGAAGTACCAGAATGGGTAAAGAGGATTTAATGCAGAATAATTAAATGTTCCCCCTTAATATATTTTAATGTTAACTAGTTATATACAAATCAAGCCATATGACAAGATACTATACAACAGCATGTTAAAAAAACATGTTTATTTTACACTATTTACAAGCAGGAACATATTTAGAAGGATTATCAATTAAAATAAATGAAGACCATAAATCAAAATTTAGTTTGTTCATAGTGTCTATACTCACATTAAAATATAAAGAACATATACCAAAGAGCCAAAAATTGTGTACTTTGCTGAAACTTGGGGATATACATATTCCACTGGAAAAACGCAATCAAAAACGACTTTAACCAAAACTAAGTTCCTGTGATGTGTAGTAACCATTATATTGTTTATATGAGGTAGTAACTAAATCATTTTGGCCATGTGTTAATACTATAAATCAAAAGAAACATGAAAATGATCATAAAATAAGGCCATGAAAAGCAAAAATTCCACTAAGAAATTAAAACCACTTCATACTCCATGGAATGTTCAATGTGATTATATGAAATGTTTAGTGAGGACTGTTTATGTTAATTGAGTCTTTGTGCATACTGTAATTCAGACAACATTTGCAGTGTTACATCACGGTACCGCTATTCTGTGATTGAAAATTTTTTCAAAGGTATTATTTTTAAGCACAGACAAGCAATCTTACAGGATTCTGCTTAAATATAAAAAGACCAGTTACTACAACAGTGGTTAATTGGTTTGTGTCACAAAGAAAATAATCCAAATACATTTAAAAAAGATGTTGTGGAGCCAAATGCATATTGACAATGTCACAGCTTACTTTTGTGACTTAATACATCACATATCAATACTTTGTGCAAATATAAACACCAGTGTACTTGCATTAAAATTAAAAACAAGATTATAAAATGATTACAGCCTCCATTACCATTTTAAAAGTTACAAGATTTATAATCATATTACTAAATTACATTTAATAAAAATACAATAGTGTTAAATGTACGGTTTCATTGCCAGCATCCCATTTTGTAATATAGCCACACCCAAGAATGTACTAAAGAATTCTTAAAATATTAACCCAATTGCATTTTTCATTAACATTTACATCTGTACAGATAAGACACTTACTTGTACATCTCATAAAAGTACATTATCTACATAAATTCTTAGTGTATGTCTTTAGCAATATGAAGTTTCACAGAAAAATACTGCCTATATGTACAAAGATTACATATGATGAATTAAGCACTTGTGTGGTTCAATATGCTAAATATATCCATACCACTTAAAACAAAAATTTCCCCATCTTGTCTCATGCCACAATAAATTACAAGTAACTGAAGCCAGGTTACTGCAGCTTTTGTACAGCTTCAAGCGTCCATTAACGTTGCAGCGGTAGTGTTCTTTCTTTCTACAGTTAACTGTCAAAGCACAACATTTCTCAGTAACTGTTCTCATGACCCGCCAGGATGTATAAATTGCTATTTGCTGTGGGGTTATCAGTTGGCCTACTTTCCAAAACCACGACCCTAAAAGTAATAAATAAAAAAAAATAGAACAAAACAAAGTTATTCTTGAAATTGTCAGGTTCCCCCCCGCTCTCACTTCTCCTTCAATATATTCCTCTACAAATACTGCTTATTTGGTTTGTAGGCTGACATCATTCTCGACTCACTATGATTAAAAAGGTAGTTCAGCTCTAGGAAGTAATTTTGCTGCCTTCTGCCTCCCAACTAAAGCCAGTGCAGGGGGGAATGTGTATTAGGAATAATTAGGGGATACATGATTCTAATTATAAATTCTAAAAACAATTTATAGTTTAAGAATCAGAAAATAAAACAGAATAGAACCCCCAAAATCCATTTTGGCACTAAAAACAAAAAAATTTCCATTTGTTAACATAAGCTATTTCCTCTTTCTTGTGCTATAAATCATACTACTTTAAGTAGTATGTTTAATGCAAAACTAGTAATGACACATCTGTATATTTGTTACTTGCAAGACCAGGCACAGTCACAAAGGCTTTTACAATTTTATGACTTGTGAAATTTTATAGTGTGAAGAACACAATGTTGAATATACTATTGTAGACTTTTAGTTTTTCTGAAACAGAAACCAGTTCCATGCTGGACTTACAGACATATCTAGTACTATGTATTTAATACAACTCCTTTTCATACCTGTCAGATCCAAGCAGTCTGAAAATTCTTGTGCTATCCGAAATTTCTTGTGTTACCTGTTGAGTTAAAACATAAACTTAGGGCCTCCCTGGTGGCACAAGGGGTTAAAGTACCGCACTATGAAGCAATCCGCAGCCTCGGCAGCATGAGTTCGATCCCCGGCCAGCCAGGGAGCAACCCACATAGCGCAGCAGACCTCTCCTGTCTCACCCGCTGCTCCCCTCAGCAGTATATTTCACCTGTTCTATTTCCTATTCTGTCTCTGGTGAATCCTCTCACCCCACACCTCTGGTCTGTTCCCCAGCTCTTCTATGCACAAATAAATCTTTAAAAAAAAAAAACCCATAAACTTAATGTTTAGAAAAGAAACATTAATCCCTAAGAGGACTTCCCTTCCTGACTGTTAATTGGTTAAGTCAGCACATAGGATATTTCAATTTGTTAGTCTAGGAAAAATGTGGTTAATTTAAAATACAAGAGTAGGACAACCATTTGCTTGTTAAATTATAAACTTAAAGGAAAAATTTAGACGCAAAGCACCTAGTTCATTTTATATTTTTTTAATTTTTTTTTAATTTAAATTTTATTTTTATATTCCCCATACAATTACAACCCCCTTATTTTGACCCCAAGCCCTCCTTTCCCCGCCCCCCACCCCCCACAGAGTGTCTCTTGTTCATAGTTATTTGTTGATTTTGATATTTTCTTTCTTATAGTTATTCTTTTTCCTGATCCCTTATTTAAGTTTTCTAGATTCCTGCTATGAGTGAGACCATCCGGTATTTTTCTTTTTCTTTCTGGCTTATTTCACTGAGCATGATCCCTTCCAGCGCCATCCATGTTGCTGCAAATTGCATGTGTTTATCTTTTTTGAATGCTGAGTAATATTCCATGGCGTATATGTACCACATCTTCTTGATCCAGTCATCTATTTTTGGGCATTTGGGTTGTTTCCAAAGCTTAGCTATTGTAAATAGTGCTGCTATAAACATAGGGGCGCAGGTGCTCTTTGGAATTGATGTTTCTGTGTCCTCTGGGTAAATACCTAGGAGTGGAATTGCTGGATCATATGGAAGCTCTTATGTTTAGTAGGTCCAGAAGTCTCCACACAGCTCTCCATAGTGGTTGGACCAGTTTACACTCCCACCAACAGTGCAGGAGAGTTCCTAGTTCATTTTATTATTAGAAGACTTATGCTAGTTATGTTAAGGCTAACAGCAGCAAGGCTACTGTAGCAGTAAAGCCACTTAAGATCTGGTCCTTTTACTTAAAAGCTTATATGATAGGAAATATTTATAGGTTAGACATGACTTGAGTTTTAATCCCAGTTTTCCCATTTACTAGGTGTGACGCTGGGGTAAATTGTTTAATTTGTTGGAAATGGCTTTGCCTTCTGCAAAATGGGATAGAAAATATCTACTTTGCAGTAGTCTTTTAAATATTAGAGAGTATTAATATACCCACTAGTAAATTGTAATATTTAAGTATTAGTGGGTATACCTAGCTAAGAGGTGCTCAATAGATAATATTTTCCCATTTCTCCCCCAACCT